AAACTCAATATAAGTGCAGAGAGCAGAATGAAAGAAGCAGCCACCATACAGTGTCACAATATCACTTAGAATCAGAGTGAATGCATACCATCTTGAAAGAGAAAACAGAAAACATATGGGAGATAAGGGAAAACTGTGCATAAAATTATTGATTGGCTCCTACATTTTATAAATTTTGTAAATTTTATACATTTTTATAAATTTCAGAACAACTCATGTTAGCTATCATTTGCAATACAGCCTTTTTAAGCTGTAGACTTTAGAATAGAGGGATGGTAGTAGCAAGGCACTTTGCTTGGTTGTGAACATTCTCTTGGACTTTATGAGGCAGATTGGCCTTGTCCCATATGACCACACACACACACAAAACCTGTTGATGCTTAGATGTGACTTTTATGGCATGATTCACAGTAGCTAACAGGTTGGTTATACGAGGTGTTATTATTCAAGATTTTGCAGTGTGGAGGGTTTTTTTTTTCTTTTTTGAATTATTTTGACTTGGAGCAATAACATCTGCTTAAGAAGGAGGGCTGCATTTTGGCAGTGACTATGTCAACACAGGAAGACAAAGGTAGTATTGCACCAATGTCCTCAAACAAGATCTTCTACACCTTTTTTCAATGAGCCATGGTTTGCTGAAGCCACTTTAAAGACTTCTCATACATGCAGTTAATCTACACTGCAGAGAAATATTCCAGAAATGAGAGCTATTTATCTGTCTCATTATGCCATAGTTTATGCGAGAAAGAAAGAAAATATTCTGTTAATGCTTGAGAGGAGGATGTATTGTTTGCTAGGTTGCTAGGTTGCAAGGCTGACATGGGAAAAAATGGCACAAATATTTTCTATTTTAATAAAAAATATCCTTTCTTCATTTTTTAAAAGAAAATGTGGGAGTCTTACCTTTATTTTTCACAGATACCTAGGGATCAATTCAGCTCAGCAACTGATATCATGCAATTCAGAACAGATGTGAAATGAGAGGGGGGAAAAAAAACAGGCAGAAGCAATGTTTAATTACAAGAAGAGCAGAAAGAAAGGAAAATAAAACTGCCGTCAAAATGGTCATATACAATATATTTTGTATTTCAATAAGGTAAAAAACAACTGCACCATTTACAGGACATGAAAAGCTTAACATAAATGATGTAATATATTTTCTCCATTCAGATGAGTAATAGTCATTTTCAGTTTATACATTGAAAATTGCATAGAAAAATACTAATAGAGTACAACTAATATTTTAAAATGTTCTATATGCAATACTTTTAAAGGTGAGCGCTTATTGTGATTATAAATCTTGGGGTTTAGCCATTGATGTCCCTTAAAAAACAAAAAATGTCTTCTTATCAAAGCACAGTTTATAAAGTGTGTACCGTACTCAAAATGCAAGCCAATATGTATTTTCACTGATAGCTTCAGGACTTGTTCTGCAATGCGTGTTTTAAGACTCTGGAAATCAGTATTTGAGATTTGCTGGGAGATAGAACAGAATTCCCAACCAACCAAAACCTATATTTGCGGGGACATAAGAAGGAAAACTGGCTGATCAAAGGCGAAAATATCTGCTTTGCTATTAGGAAAATGTCAAGAAATTTCAATACATTGCAGTTCCAAATCACTGGCTTCTAATATTTAAGCTACAGAAGTCACCTTTCACTGTCATTGAAAGAAAGAAAAGCCTTTGGACTATTCTGGATCTATTTACTCTGTTGGGTCAGCCGTGGGACTCATGCGAAGGCTGCTGAGCAGTGAGTGGTATGCACAGATTTCCTCTTGGGTGGCACATCCTTAAGCATGAAAGGAAGATTTCTGTGCAAAACCTTTGGTGCCTAGAAAGTCTAAAATGTCCAAGAATGGTAGAAGAGGTTATTTGGGGTCTTTGTTAGGAAAGTCGGCATTTAAATCACATCTGTACTATTACGCAATAGTAGAAACGGACTGCTCTCTGGGCTACCAGCTGGCCCAGCACCGTTCATCTGTAGACATCTACATTTTTTCCTCTTTGTCCAAAGAACAGTATGGCCATATCAAAACTGCTTAGTGGGTGCAGTGCTTGGAAAAGCCTTTTCCCAGACAATGGCTGGGCATTGTACAGCAATGTAGGAGTTACAGGAAATACAGAAGCATAAGAACACATATCTGCGCATACCACTCACTGCTCAGCAGCCTTTGCATGAGTCCCACAGCTGACCCAAAGGAGTAAATAGATCCAGAATAGTCCAAAGGCACAGGCCAAAGCTGTGGAGGCTGTGGGCTAACAGCTAGGCATTATGGGTGAGACTTTTCTAGTACTCAAATCTGGCTTTGACCCTTTTTTTTTTCCCCTTATCCAAAAGGGATAAAATTCCACCTCAGCTGCACTATAAGTAGTCAAGCGTTAAATTGGTGCTTTTCCATGATGTTTACTCCTCCAGCTACTCAGACTGTTCCATGTCAGTTCTCAGGCCTGAAAAAAAAAAAAAAAAAAAACGGGGAAAATGGAGGATCTTTGTGGGAAGGGCTGAAGACCAGCGTCTCCTATCTTCTAGGCCAGCTTTCAGGATGCCCTGAAGATTTTACCTACTAATTCTTGGACGTCCTAGTGGGTTCTGCAGAGGTGTCTTGTCCCACAAACCTGAAGTTTCTTTTGAAGAAACCAGAGCATGTGGGTAGGAAGGCTGATAAGTATCACCATCTCACCCCAAAGTGGGATATGACTAGGTTCGTATCCAGGCAGAACTCTGAAAATCTTAGTTTCCAGGTAGCCTCACTGGCCAAAAAAAAACCAAAATGAGGACCAGCATATTAAAAATATCAATATAGATTGCACACAAGGTTGAAAGGGGCTGCAATAAAAAGGATATGGAGTGGGAGACAATTATCTGAGAAACAGATCTCAGGTACAGGTACACTCATGCATTCTTTAAAAATCTGAACAAGAGTTCAAAAGCAATTTTGAGCCAAAACTGCGGACTTGTGAATCAGAGCAAGAAGATAATGTGTAGGAACTGAGATTAGATACATAAAAATGTTCACAGAAGCCTAGGATTGCATTATTTGCTTCTGCTCTTGAATAAATATTTATTTCCTGTCTTGCTTAAGTAGACACTTGGGTTTTCTCATTTTCTTGTTACCATGTATGGTGTGCTATTCAATACACTCCCTATAAACTGATGTACATTTTCAAATGTGATTCATAAACCAACTTACTACTCTTAGATCTATTCTATGAAGAGAAAATGGGGATTCATACTGAACAGATCTACAGTGTTAGTGATCAGGAAGGAACATCTGTGAATATTTATCTATTATCAGAGCCAATGTTCCTGTCTCCAACCAATAGACTATGCTCATTGACAAGTTAAAAATAGAAAAAACAGTACTTTATTTCTTTTATTGTTGCAAGTGTCAATATAGAAACTGAAGCATTAAAAATGTGGTGGGTGATATAGTCAACACCAGGAAAACCACTTGCTGTTTAGAAGTTTATTTAAGAACAAAAAGTACACACGCTGCCCAGTCTTCCTTCTCATTAATCATTTACTGTGGATAAGAAATCTTTGTAAGCACTTAAAATTGAATTTGTAATGAACAAAATTGTATTCTACAGAATGAAGTAGGCAAAAGCTGCTATAAAGAGACAATCATAAACCATAGATTATTGATAAAGGCTTCACTTTACCACCTAGCAACCTTGCCCATACCTGCCACCATTGCAACCAAGCTGAGATAAAAGTTTTGTGATTCTGGGACTAATACATTGAAATTAATTATACAACTTAAGATGCTACTGACGCTAATAAAATGATAACTGATGAGACCGAAACATAATAAATCAAACCAAACTCTCAGTTTTATTGCTCTTTTCAGGTGTCAGTTTTTGAATTTTCAGTGCTTAAAAATTTAATCTCAGTTTCCTTTTTTATTAAAAACAGGTCTAGGAAGAAGAAAAATAATCAGTTGACCATTGTTTTTCAGTCTGTTATATAGGAAAGGTAGTTACTAAGATCTTCAGATATTCTGAATTAAAACAAAAAGGATTTTTTCACTATATAACAACTTAGCAAGTATCTAGCTAGTAAATTTTGTATTTCAAAACAAATAAGTGAAAAATAAAATGGCAAACAAGCAAACCTCTCTGTTCTCAACCATACAGGTTTTTCATCTCCTTTGTAGTCTTGTGTCCAACCTATTTTTGTATGATCACATGTGAAAATTTTCTGGGTCCAAAAGGCTAGTTTAATTCTTATGACAAAGATCATTGCTCAGAAAATGATAGGCAAAAGAAACTAAAATCAATGTGCTCATTTTGCTGTTCTGTTTAAATTATGATAAGAATTGTAATAATCGCAGGTCCTGCAGCCATGGCTACACAGCATCAGATAACAGCATCTTTAATGTGTTACTTTTAGCTCCCAAATGTAGACATCAGTCTTCACTGTTGCAGATTTATCCCCTAGTCTACAGCTGTTGGTGTTCAGAAACCCTAATGTGTGTTTTAAGGCTGCGGTCTGGATAAGGTTTTATTTGAAGGGAAGCAGCACCATCTATTGCAACCTGATAGCTTAGCTCTACATGATATGAATAGCAGAGCTGGCCTGAGCCCAATTTTAAACTCTTTCTTGCACTTGCTTTCATAAGCTTTTCCCAAACCAGCTTCAAATGAGGTTAGGATCTCCGTTTGTATGTGATAAGGGACAGGGACAGGGGTGTGTGGCATGTGTGCATGTGTCCAATTAAAAGGCGCATCTAAGAGACATATCTGTTTACAAACTAAGATAAAATAATAGCATAAGCATAGACCTGACTAACTGTTGTTTTTAAGTGACTTGGCTGGAGTTTCCATTTCTGAAGTGGGAGGATAGTCAAAAGTTAAGAGTATGTTTTACCCAGGTGATATTCTCTCAAAATTTGCTTTCTGAAGCAGCATTAATGTAGGTGTGTAGTACAGTATGTTCTTTTAATAATGACAGTGCTGTTGTCATCCATCTATACTTCTGGTTCTTCTTTTTTTCCAGACTGTCTACAAAGCCTGGCTCTGTTCCCAGTATTTTGAAGTCACACAGTTTCACTGCAGCAACAGAATTCCTTGCAAGCAATACTGTTTGGAGGTTCAGACGAGGTGTCCCTTTATATTACCAGACAATGATGATGTCATCTATGGAGGACTATCAAGTTTCATCTGTACAGGTATAGTATAGAAAAGCTAATTTCACTTGTTTTCAGAAGTCTAAATGTGAAAGAGAGCGTGAATAATGTTTCTTCCATTAGCTCTAACTATGGGAGCCTGAAGGTATTGCTCATCACAAAGATTTCTCAGAGGTGCTAGGGTTTGAGCCCAGATTTAGTAATGCGCATTTTGCTACAGCTTGACACAGTCATTAACTTTACAAAACAAAATTACTAGAAGAAATTTGTTCTAGTTATTTTTTACGCTTAATGATTTGTTGAGGATTTTTGTTACTCTGTGTCATGCAGCACTCAGAGAAATGAGATTCTGTGTCATACAACATTCAGAAAAAGTGAAAGGCAAGATCAATTTTTAGTATATTCACCTTTGTTTACCAGCATTCTTGTGTCAGATAAACGAAGAATCTGAGGCATAGCATTCAAAACTGTGCAGCGGCTCTTGGAAGGTAAATGTCAAAGAAAGGTCTTTCACCAGGGAAGAGTTTCAAGAATCAGTTGTTCCCCTGTGAAGAACTGATCTTTTGGTCTCTTCTTGAGTCTTGCTACATTCTGGGAGTATTTTAATTTTAAATGTTCGTACTAGTATAGGTCTATGCATCGACTGATAAAATGGTTTGGTTCCTTTTATATTCCATTCTGCTTCAAACATTGTCCCAGAATGATCCAACCAGAGATGATGTGGTAAGCAAGAAATACCTTTAGTACATCTCAGGTACCTCAGATACTTTTTTCAGGACTGGATGGGAGTCATCCACACAAAATTTCAGCTTATATCAATGTTATCTGCAGATTTCTGGTGCCTAGAGTATCATCTGAGAATCTTGAAGATATTTAGGCTACTTATTCCCACTAAGTGGGTAAAAAGGCATTTCAACACTTAGAGCGCTTGACAGCCTGGTCCAAATATCTGAAATTAGGCAGCCTCCACCTTAAATTAGGGCTGCACTGTAAAGTTTGATACTAAATGGGTTGCCCAAGCTGAGCTAGTTAAAACCAGAGCAAAATATAAAACCCCATAAATGCTCTATACCATCTCAGAGGCACGCATAATGTCTGTGGCAACTCACATCACCTTGTACACTGTGTTTGGATTTAGGGGGTTTCTGGTAGCAAGACATTTACCGTATTTCTTCTTGAAGATTACACCTATTGCACACAATTGAGCAATACCAATCTGTATGCAAAAGACAATATAATGAAATGCAAGCTGAGTTACAATTTGGTAGTGATCAATAAAGCAGTGGTGCTTAGCACTTCAATGCATTTTGTAAATATTAATAGCCTTCCAATATGCATACATAGTAACCAAATGAGCATTATTTTCCAGTCTAAGATAGGACAGTAAAAGCTGAAGTGAGCGACTGAGGACATTTTTATTTACAATATGTTTACAATATGTGTGTGTGTGTGTGCATGTATATACACACGTGTGTGCACACTTGCACAAATACACAATAGCAAAGAACAAACAAACAATAAACAAAACCATCTTAATAATTATTTCAGAAAATCTTTTAGGAAATACATATCCACCTCTTCATTTTCTCTGAGTTTGGGTTGAAAAGCAGATTTAGGGGAGGATTAAACTCATTTTATTGCAGGTATTAGTAGTGTGGGTATCTACACATAAACTCTGTGACTAAGCTCTCACTAGAGTCACTGAAGACCTGGGGTAGTCAGTAGAGCTGAGAGCTATTTAATTCAGCCTAAGTAGGCATCTGCACTCCGTGAGCTGACTGGCTCTCTACGCCCCTCTAACAGTACTGGATACACTCTATTTGCTGTAGCTGCTGTTAGTCACCAAGGTCTTACTGCAGACACTTAAAATCAGGGTGACCTGAATATCATCTCAGTAGTCCACTAATATTTGGTTGAACTTTGTGTCCACTCAAGTCAAGACCCTCAGCACCAACAGGGCAGACCCTGTGTTCACGGACCCATAGGAGTCAACATGCTGACACTGGGCAGTTGTGTGCCAGAGAAGATGCTGAGGAGAGGTACAAGGCTGCAATTCAAACTTTGTCTGGAATACAGCCCATTGCCGCTCTCTTATTAATCAGCATCTCACTGTAAGAACACTTCCTGACAATAAACAATGAGCAATTAGACTGATATCTGCTGTGGGACTAAAGAATTACACTTCTCTGCAGCTTAGCAAAACCAGAATTATGTAATGCAAAGTACAGCGAGTTCAACAACAGATGAAATGCTGTACCTCAGCATAGCTTGTGGCTTGACAGTTACCTTGACCTCCTTTTGCCAAAAAGCAACCGAAAGCAGTATGCCCACATCTTGAGGGACCTGTTCTGCTACACTTTCTGTGAGCTCCTGTCTGGCAGACGTGTTCTGGGATTTCTGGCATGGGTGAAACAGATGAGTCAGGTCAAAGGTATTTCTTTTCGATATTTAGGTGTTACAGCTGGTTGTCTAGTGTCTCCGTTCAACCTAAGTTCACTGTGAAGCTGGTCACCACTGAGCTCTTCTACAGGAAACACAGCAGGAGCAAACTTTATGTTCAAGAATTCCTCACAAATGGTAATTTGTCATAGCCCATCACTCATTTGGATTAGGTTTGAGTATCTCTGCTGCTCCTGACTCTGATGGTATCCCACAGAAAAAAATGCTACAGGTCCTTTTTTTAAAAAAAATTACTTATATTTTCAGAGAAATCCAGGAGAAACTGAATTAGGTTATGCCAGTATGATATTTTTTCCTCCATTAAACTAATGTAAGAGTAGCTGGCTAGCTAAGAAACACTGTTAATTATAAAACATTGTCTGGAGAAAAAAAAGGAACCCCTCTGATTATAGGATGATCTGTCTCTGAGAAATGTCAAGAATTTGTGATTTCTGATTTTCTTTAATAAGGTTTTAGAAGCAATAGTTTTTTAATAAGGGTTTTCATTCCTTCTCTCCATGGTAACAGACTATTTCTTCAAAGGTCCAGTAGAGATTTAGGTTAATGGAAAGACAGAGGATTGATTTCTATAAAACATTTCAATACACCATGGAAGGCAACTATCAGGAAAAGACATTTTTATTTCATGTTGGCTACAGCACGGAGTTCAGGATGTATATATAAATATGATATACTGTTTTCCAATTGCAGCTAGATAAGAGGCTGGGGTGGCTCCATGTCACCCTCAGCACTGGGAGCTGCCACGGTGCTACTGAGCTGCCACCTCCATCCTGCTGCAGTAGTGAGAAGGGTCATGGAGGCACTGCTGGAAACAGGGGCACGGTGGCATCAGTGGACAGGGAACCCACATGCTTTTTTTTTTTTTTTCTTTAAGGGCAGGAATTTCTCGAGATTGGAGGCTGTAAAAAAAAAAAAAAGTACTGGAGGCTGTAAAAAGCAATAACAGAGGTTTTATCCTTCCTCAGGAAGTCCATGTTATGAGAAAAGAGCATAGGACTGACTATTTTTTCCCCAAGAAAATTTTCAGTTGTTGTTATCTTAGAATTCCTTAATAGGTGTTTTTTAAAATGCTTTAAAAAAGTAAATATTTCTACATGTAGAGTCATCACAGGGCTGGAGCCATAATTGTGGCGAAGAATCACACATGGTGGGGGTGTACTTGCTCTTTTGCGGTCCTTTGACACCATCAAAGTAAAAGAAAAGTTGTAGTTTATAATAACTTCTTGGAAACTCTTGAAGGATTGGTATAATGAATAAGAAGTATTCTAGCCTGAGGATATCTTACTTGATTACCCCCAATGAAAGCAGATAGATGTTACACTAGTTGTGTATCAATGGAACTTGCCTTTTGTAGAAGTGCATGTGAGGATGTGGGACAACTGCAGTGCAAAAGAAAGTACTTGGGAAATTAATCAAAACAATCAGAATCACAGTGTGGATCTGATTATGGAAACTTGTGGTTAGCTACAAAGATGTTTGTGTTCCCATGTCCCCCCTTTCTTCTAGGAAATAGAAGTCCATCTTTCCATCAGGCTCTGTTCTGGAACACACTGTTTTTCATATTCATTAAAATCGAAGGGTTGCTTTCAGTTTAGACCTTCGAAGTTTATATCCATATAACTGAAGTTTCCAGTGGCTTCATCTAAGGTTTCTTTCTGCAGCTCAGATGTCTAGAATTGGCCGTGTAAAACAGAATCTTATTTAAGTGAAATAATAGTAGTGTTTAGGCATACATACGCACACGGAGCAGATTACCGTGAATAAGTCCCATGCACAATTCCAGGTAAAGACTTTTAATTATGACTCCTATGAAAACAGTGTGCATACCAGTGGGACTGTATTCTTTCATAGATGTAGTCATCTTTTCCTTTTTTTTTTTCCCAGTGTGAATGGAAGATGTAGATTTCTTTCACAAATGCTCTTTGAGTGAGAAAAGAGAGCAGAAAGATGTATGAGTCTACATACAGAGCACTGGGAAGAGACTGGTAATATTTCACAACACCTGCTTTGCCCATGCCTCCCAAAGTAATGTGGTCCAACAGCTGGACTGGGAACTGGCCCAACCCATGAACTTCTTCTGGCTTGCTGCCATCTCCCAAAGCAGAGAAAGAGGATGCAGGGGCCATAAATATTTTCTTCACAGCCAAAACTGTCCATTCAGGCCTTCAGTTCGCTCAACCCAAAAGAACATGAGAGCTCGGTTTCCACCAAATGAGCAGCAGAGGTGCCCAAAGGGAGGGGAGAAAGGATCACCTCTCCTATGCACACATGGCCCTTCCCTGAGCAGCCAGGATATGCCATCAACACAAATGCTGCAGTTGCATCCACATTAGCAATCCAGTTCAGGAGTGTACTTTTGAAGCAAATCTCCTGTTCATACTCCTTGCTGTTTGACTTGTGCAGGGGAGAGTTCTTGAAGGATACAAACTGGATTCCTTTGGATTAAACTAAACTAGAAGGTGTGCTACAGGACCATACATAGCACATCCCATCCACTAATGCACCTTTGGTCTACAGAATCAGACTAGAGCTAGAGTGAGGTAAAAACCGCTTGACTGTATTCAGGGTTGAGATGAGATACT